TACCTCATATTCAATGAAACGATATGCATATCTGTCACAGCGTACTCACAGACTCGAAACAATTCACGAAATGAAAATATTTCAAACGGTATACGCGAAAACAGGCATTCCCGAATTACAGACATTTGTACCGCAGTCCGTAGGCCAACAATATTCAGAGGTTTTAGGGTTTAGGTCGAACCTACACTGTTTGAAATATTTTCATTCCGTGAATTGTTTCGGCTGAATATTGTTGGCATACGATAGAAATGTGCCTCTACTTGAATCTGCGTTGTCCTGTGTGTTGTCTCGCCCGTGACCTATTGGGACGTTAGAACTCTGATCAGAATTGATTCTTGTTTATTTAGAATATTATGGAATATTTGTTCTATATTAAACTTCCCGTTCGCAGACGATGATAGCAACCGCCGCAAAACTATATTACTGCCTTATGGACGAGTGTCCCAGCTATATATGGCATGTGTGGTATTCCTACCTCTAGAAGGGGCCACATTCGTGCCGATGGCTTTTCAAATGCTGGTGCGACCTATCTTTTGCGTTTTGATGGTATTACTAACCTGTCAATTGTACTTTTGAACATTCGATCGGCAGACATCGCTCGACCCACATCCATCGATTACCCCCTGCTTTAGTATTGTACACCCAACCCAAATTTCGAGAAATCGTACTCAATACACGGTCACCCACTAAAAATACATTCAATTGCTCTGGATGCAAATGAGATGCTCCTTCTGTATATCCCTTCAATCTCTTCTCATCTAGACTTTCTTAAGTTAATTGCGTGCGCGACGAGGCATGCGCAACATAAACAGCAGCTCGGACATATTCGTCTACAATGAAGTGACGTAACTCTTGTGCACGTGAAGTGATGCCCAAATGCACATAGTCTTTGTACAATGACCACAGACCGAATTGCATCATCGTCCTATCCAAGACCAGAATACCATGTGTGCTTGCTACACATTCTATGATTTCCCGGGCCCTAGCTACGTTTACTTCAGATCGGCAATCCATTCCATGGTAGGACTTACGAGTTGGATTCGAGGGTGAGACTCCGACAGCAACTATATCCGCAAAATACCCCAAATTCTTCTGAATAGAGACGAGAGCTTGCTCATATGCCAAACGAAATAAACCGTGGTTTGACACACCGTGTAGCCCAAAATTAAATAATACAACGTGCCTTGTTTCAACCGAATACTGTTCTCGTATTTTTGTAATAAATGTACAGGTTTCGCTAAGACTCGCGGAGTTCCAGGGTGCCGCAGTTGTTCCGAGCTGCGGCTCGATATTCTTCGCTTTCCAGCCAAATGGCTCTGTTATCAAGGTGAACGTGAACGCGACTCCTCGCGTAGTGCTCGTGTAATAACTGTGACAAGGTCTTCCAGAAGACTCTACGTTACCGCCACAACGAGTGTGTCCCTTCAGAGTGGCATTTACGATAAACGCACTTAAAAGCTCTTCCATAGTACTGTCTCCTACCAAGTGAAGCACAATGTTTTTATCTTTAATGGGCAGCGAGGGTGCTTCAGTATTACAGTATGAGTTCCACACGGTTTGATTGTGGCTCCAAAACCCCAAACCAAAAGGCAATTTATTCGACATGCGTTGGCAAGCGTCACCCATGCTTTTAGAGATCCCTGCAATCGAAATAGTTAGGTTTGCCAAAGGAAACCGATAAACATTATCAATTGCATACCTTCCAGAACAGTGAGTACTGCCAAGGCAATTGGGTGCTTGATAATATGAGGATATAAGGTATTTACCACCATTACTGAGACATGGAATTTCTACCACCACGACTCCTTTCGAAGGGTAGGTAACATATGCATCTTCGTTCACAGTCGGTGCCCCGTCAATAGGTATAAACTCAAAATGCACCCAATCACGATCGTTCAGAAAACATGTTTCTTCAAATGTAATTCTAGCGTACAAAGGCTGTTCACCCGTTTTACCCGTTCTATATGATGTACTGACAAAATTCATGTAGCATAGCTGCTCGCTCACCTGAGAATTTTCCAGAGCTAGCATTTGCCGGGTTATCAACCCGCTATAGAATGTCTGCCAGTCACTATTGTTACTTTCTGCGAATGCATCTCTGACTAATTCAGTAAAATATTTAGGCGGTAGCTTGGTAGACCTCGAAGGATCATCCCAAACCAACGGAGCTTCGGATAAGTTTACGAATGGCCTAAAGAAATCGGGCACTGTCCCACAAGAACCAAACTTCCTCTCACACATCGAACTTGACTTGAGAGACGAATGAGATTGCAACGCCAAGAAAGAGCTCCGGGAGTTCCCACACCATTCTAGAACGATCCTTATGGCCGTCAAACCAATTGTCATAAGTGAAAAACTGCCCACCAGGGCCAGACTGGCCAGCAACCAATTGCGTAATTTTAGTAGACTCCTAGTTTTGTCGTGCAGCATAGTCCTCGATTTTGGACAGCGAACTAGATATCTAAAATAGGACTCAATAAATTTTAACTTACTATATATATATTATTGCTTTTGTTGATATTTACGCAAATCTATTCCCCTCAATCCCCGTCCCTGATTTTTGGTCATTGTACCTCTAGTTGTTTACTAGTAGAAGGTTTTTTTATATTTTTTAATATTTACTATTATTAATAATACTTGAGTAGTTAGATGTGTAGCTAGAAATTTTGATCATGTTCAAGTAGACCTAGATTTTGGGATGGGCTTTGAAAATATTTGTGACGAAATGTCGAGGATAGAATCAGTTGTCTCCATTAGGAATGATTTCATCCTCGGCGTTTTGTCGTTAGTATATTTCTCAGGACTTATGAAATATATGGCCAGAATATAAGTAACGAGCTACGGTCGAATGAAATACATAGGTATGGCTGGAATTTATAAAAGAATGCTGTCGAATGAAATATATGTACAGGTATGGCCAGAATATATGTAAAGATGCAGTGAAGGAAATATATAGTTATGGCCTGAATACAGAAGCGGATGCAGTCGAAAGCAAGAGATAGGCATGGCCGGAACATATACAGAGGTGCAGTCTAATGACATATGTCGGTACTGAAACATATGGGCATGGTCAGAATATAGGTAGGTATGCTGTCGAGTAAAAAATACAGATATAGCGAAATTTATTAAACATTGCAGCCAAATATATTATTGCGATACGTCCGGAATGTAGAAAAAGAGGAGAATTGGCCGGAATATAGTAAAGGATGCAGCGAATGAGATAAATAGTTTTTAGAGAAAATAGAAAGAAACACCCTATAATAGTGCATTCGAATGAAATATATGGGCATGGCCAGGATGTAGAAAAGGATGCAGTTGAATGAAATTTATAGGTATGACCGGAATATAGAAAGGCATGCAGGCCTATGGACTACATAGGTATGATCCAAGTATACACTCGAATGCAGTCGAATGAAATGTATAGTTGTGCCCAGAATATAGTATAGGATGCTGCAGAATGAAGCACATAGATATGGCCGGAATATAGAAAACAATCTATTAGAACTAGTGCAATTCCCTTAAGAAATATCTCGAAGGAGTCTTTCTGACAACAATAAAGATGTACGATTCGGAGCAACAGATATACTTAATAGACCAAATGTAGAGTTTGAGATCAACTGAAAGGATACGACCAAAGAAAACAATAGACCTCCTGTCAAGTACAATTTGGAAAATAATTGTGTCTTGTAGGTTGCAGAGTACTTTTATTTTCGGCAATACGAATTTGTCTTGTTCATGTTGATAATTGACTTCTCTTAAGTCCAAACATGTGCGTACTTCCTTTAATAGGTCTGTTTGCTCAAATTCACCTGTTGACAGTAGTGGCAGATTCACCTGTATTGGTGTCGTCCTCTTGTTTATGTGTCCCTCATTGACCCATTTTTGGACATTGTCATCTGTCTGTGGTATGTATTTGTGAGGAACAAATTTTCTTTGAGCGTGACGAATGTTCTGGCCTCGGAATCTCCACTACTGAGCCTGGTAAATTGCAGTGTACGTCAGGTGAGATCTTACCATTTTGGTTTAATAGGTATGAAAGCGGTTCTCTTACTCCTTCTTGCTCATGTTCAGGGTCTTCTATATGTTCAGGGTCTTCTTCCTGTGGTGTAAGAAGTGATCCCCACTGTGTAGTTTATCTCGGTTTGTCTCTGTCAACTGTCTATTCGTTGGTGTCCAACATGTACTGTTTATGTAGAATGGAATGTTCCGATTTGCTTCTTATTTGTGTTATTGTTTGTGTGATTTTGTATCTCAATTGTATTTGGCTTCAACGAGTAGTGCGCATGATTTGTTTGTTTGTTTGCTTTACTACGTGCATTCTTTTGTTCGTTTATCTGTGATGTACAGTAAACTTGTTAACCACTCTGAAAGTATGTGTAGTTATCACTGTTCATGACATGTGTAATGTTGTAGCATCTAGGGACCAGATTATCAAAAAGCCAATCCAAAACTCAAACCCACGGAATCATCAAATACTGAGTTTCGGGTACGGATCCAAATATTCCTGATTTGGAGTCATCAGTAATATTAGCAATTGAACCGGTAATGTGAACTGGGACCCTGCGTGTGAGAGAGACTCTCAAGTAAACCTTAGTCCAGTGAATTATAATACAAATCACAATATTTATCGAGAAAACTAAACAGCGGAGTAACGCTGAGCAAGCTAGGTTGAATGTTATTAACACGACAGAGCGGAGAATCAGTCAAAGAGCCCCAGTAAAGAAGGTCCGGCAAGGAAATTCTTACCGACAGAAAAGGAACGCGAAGGAGAAACAACCGAAGAAAAGGTAATCCTGCAGCGAAGTAAGTCACTAGGGTTTTAGGGTTTTAGGGTTTAGGTATCTTTATTTGTTTACACGCTATTGCTATATACAATACTTGATGTCCGGGGTGGACTTGCGGCTACCGGCAGGTGTTGGCAGTTCCCATTGGGGCGAACTGTACTATCTAGGGGCCGAGTCTTTTGCGGTCTGGGTTGTTGTACTTGTTGAATTGTTTTCTGTGGCTGTGATAGTCTAGTTGTGATATTGTACCTGACTTGATGGACATAATGTGAGTAAGTTGTGATTGATATGCATATAGTTTCATTCAATATGTAATATACTGATTCCTAGGAGAGCATTGCTCTGAAAGCCGAGCAACATTAATTGATCGGCGTAAGAGCGAGTAGCAGAGATTTTGCTATAGAACAATATCTAAATGTTAAAGTGTTCTGCAAAAGGTTTCTCATACTGACCATATGAGTTTTCACCCTGGCCAACCCAAGCGGTTGAACACTAGCACAAACACCTTGAGTATAAAACCAAAGGCAAGGTTGTAAATAAAGACATACAATTACGCTTGATCCAAAGACTACCATCTTACAATCTAACAACTTATCAGGTCACTCTGCTCTTACGCTACCAAAATGCCTACTGTCAACTCTAAGGATATCAAAACCACCACCATTCTCGAGTCGAAGGTCGACTGGCTTCCCTGGAAAACTCAAACCATCTTATCTGTGAACTGCGAGGGAATCCCTGATATCCTGACCAACGCGACAGATCCTCGAGGCAGCCGTTGGACTTGTAAGCAAGTTGCTGAAACATATCGGGTCATCAACCGTACCCTGTCTCCGCTACTGCAAACGGAAATAAGTTCATTCATTGAGTCCCCTTGGGATGCATTTGCTGCACTGCAACAAAAGTTTGAAGCTCTGACTGAAGATGATCTCCAAAACTTGGAAGCAAACCTGAATCGCATCACGCAGGAACGGAACGAGCCGTACGCTACTCTCACTAATCGTCTCAGCACGTCCTTGGAATTTCGTAGGTGTGAAATCCGATAACAGTCTCTGCGCTATTTTACGTCAAGCTGTGCACGACGACAATCAGACGGTGAAGATCACGTTGAAAACACCAGCAATGGCTAAGAAACCTTTTATCTTGGCTCTTCTAGTTCGTACCTATACGGATTGAAATATTTACAGCACGTGACCAGTCTAGTCTATATATCGTT